TAACTAAGAAAAAAGAATGAAAATCACAAAGTAGGAACAAATTCATTCCTTTCCATTAGAGTGAATTGAGAAATTGCTACAACAATGAATAGTGTAAAGAATGAGCTAATACTCTCCTTTATATACATGCCCTATCTGAAAGTTATACACTAACTAAACTAATCTTCTAACTAACAATTATTTATTGGTTGTTGTAGCTGACAATTAATAGATAAGGGTGGGCATTCAGTATTTCGATTTAGTTTCGGTTTTTTATTCTTGTAAAATGTATACTGAATGTCGAACTAAAATATTTCAATTTGGTTCAATTTTTGTTATTTTGGTTCTATTTTTATTAATTCGATTCGATTTTTTTATTTTAAATTTTCAATGGGCATGTTTATTGGGATTTTTAAAATTCAGACTAACTAGTAATAAAAATAAAAATTAGAAAAAAAATGAAAGAACAGAAGAAAATTAGAAAAACAAACCTGATTAGTCGACGATCGGCTGGCCGCCGGTCGCCGGTCTCTGCCCATCTGAAGTCGTTAACCGTCTGAAGTCATTGCCCGTCTGATTTCTGAAATAGCTGGCGGCTGCTAGGAAGGATGAAGAATGAAGAAACTTGAAAGGAACTAATATGGAACTTGTAAGAATGAATTGAGGAAGAGGAAGAGCAGGGTGAATTAGGGTTTCCTACTTTCTATAAAGTAAAAATAGTAAAGTATAAAAGACAAAAAGACAAAAGTTAAAAAAGTTACTTTTTACTTTTCAGATTTTGTTTTCTTTTTTTAAATAATTATTTTACATAAATAATATATATATATATATATATATATATATATAAATTTAATATAATATTTTGGTTTAAATCGAAATACAGAAAAACAAAAAAATACGTACCGAAAAACGAATCGAAATACCAAAAAGTACAATAATGTAAACCGAATACCAAAACGAAAACCGAAATATCAAAACTAAAATACCAAAAAAATTTGATTCGGTTCGATGTTTTGGTTTTCCGATGTTCATGCCTACCCCTATTAACAGATTCCTTTATATATAAACAATATGATCAAGTTACAACACCTACTTCGTTACTCCCCCTTAAGCGGGTGGGTATAAAAACATCTAAGACTCCCAACTTGGATACAATATTTATACAGATGGAATAAACAAAATCGAGGTGATCATTGATGTCACCTACCCAATTAACATATGCTTAGGTACAATGAGTAGTTAATTTCTTTGGGAAAATATGAATACAATACTGGAATGTTTCTTTAAGTTATTGTAGGATGTTCTTGAAAGACTTCTAGTGAATCACAAAAAGAGAAGTATTAAACTGAGTAAGCTTGTTGACTGAGTAAGTGATATCAGGTCGAGTAAATCAAAGGTAGTAAAGCTTACCAAGAACACTTTTATTCGCATTGCCATCAGTTTTAGATGCTCCATCATCAACTAGTAAGGTCTCGGACGTGCTCATAGGTGACTGAATACCTTTGCAATATTGCACCTGAGTGTCATCTAAAATCTCTTGTATATGCTTGGATTGACTAAGAAACAACTCATCTCATCAGCATCTTTGTGTACTTCAATGCCCAAGAAATAGTGCAATAAACCAAGGTACTTGAGAGAAAATATTTTTGAAAGAAAGGTAACAACAATGTGAAGGAGAGTTTCATCACTGTCTGTTATTATGAGGTCATCCACATATATCAAAATATAAATAGTGACCCATGTTGTGAATAACAAAGCGAGAGTGAGCACACTCAAATATATTGAACCCCATTCGATTCAAAGAACTAGTTAGTGTATCATGCTTAACCTTAGAAGCTTGCTAGAGTCCATAGAGTGCCTTGTTAGGATGATTAATGTCTTCGAGGAGGTTGAGACACATACACATCTTCTTGAATCGTTTCGTGAAGAAAAATATGTTGACATCTAGTTGACGAAGTGGTCAATTCATCTATACAACAAGTGTAAGAACCGTTTGAATTGTGCTTGGTTTAACCACTAGACCAAAGATTTTGTGATAATTAACTACAGGCCTTTGAGTGAACTCTTTTTCCACTAACACAACTACTTGCAAGGGAGATTATTCTAGGCATAATCTAGTGTAACCAAGTCCCAAGTTTGGTTTTTCTTAGTTCATCAAATTCAGCCTTCATAGCGTCTCTCCAATATGGAAATTTTTGTGCTTGCATGTGGGTTACGGGGATAGATAGTGCAAGTTGGTTTATTTAGTCAGTGTAGTCAATGATTTTTCATTTCTTGAAGATGTTGTTTTGCGACCTCGTTACCGCACGTTGTTCTATGGGTGGAATGTTAAAAATAGGTTCAGACGGGGGAGGTAAACTGAGAGATGGGGGTGGTAGAGCAGATGATGAGGGTGCTCGACGCCGATAGAAGTGAGTAATTAGTGGACGACGATTTATGTAGATAGGACAAGTAGAGGGGACATGGAGTTGGCCCCGGAAAACAAAATAAAGCAAGGGTAACCAACAGGGGATTGTATATATCTATTAGAAGAAGAAGGCGGAACCCATCTATGACCCCCTAAAATTGGCACAAATTTTTACTTAAACACCTCAACTAAGATCTGTTTATTCTAAACACCCAATGTAAGATTCTATTGTGTCATTTTGACACTTTGTAAACAATCAACAAATTATTTAAGGAGTGTAATATGTCAACATGATGAATCAAATAAAGACATGTGACATTAGTCCCAAAAAATATTGTGAACAAGAATTTATTTTTAAGACTATTTGATTAGTTACAAAATAAAAAGTATATTTTAATAATTGAAATAAACAAAAAGTAGCAGCAACCTTCCTCTTTCTTCTCACACCATTTTCGTATCTCTCCTTAAATCACCATGACCCTTTATTTATATCTACCATTAATGGAAGCCAATCATTCTCCACTGCAAGAATCCATCCCCCATCTTCCTCTTTTTTTAAGTACTTTTCATCTCAGTCTTTCCTACTTTTTTTTCTCCTCCTACTCTCCTTTAAGATTGGTGTCGGCATATATATATATATATATATATATATATATATATATGTTCAATATAATTTGAAATTGCGAAGAAAATAAATTAAAAGAAGTGTCAGATTTGGAATGGTTATTTAAGAAAATAGATCGGAAAGAAAAAGAATACACAAAAATGAGAAGAAAAGCGGTGAATTCATTCTTTAATAATGACAAAGACTCCATTTTCATGACATCACTCATTTTTTTTATATGAAAACTTTAATTTTTTTATTGGGATAGTGCACAAGTGCCCCCTCAACCTATGCCCGAAATCCCAGAGGCACACTTATACTATACGTAGGTCCTATTACCCCCCTTAACTTATTTTATAAGTAATTTTCTACCCCTTTTTAGCCTACGTGGCACTGGTTTGGAAAAAAAAGTCAATCATCGTTGGGCCCACAAGATAGTGCCACGTAGGCCGAAAAGGGGTAAAAAATTATTAATAAAATAAGTTCAGGGGGGTAATAGGACCTTAGTATAGTATAAGTGTGTCTCTAAGATTTCGGGCATAGGTTGAGGGGGTACTTGGGCATTATCCCTTTTTTATTTATAATTTTGTGTTTGGTTGTGAAATTTGATGTTTCTAAGTGAAGATTAAAGGTATTTTGTCTGTTTCATTTATTTTGATGGTTTATAATGAAGAGATTGTCGAATTTTATGGTAAAATGGTGAGAAGAATTAATCGACCAACTTGATATTTGTTTGAAAAGGTGGAGAAGATGAATTATATTTTGAAGTATTTGTATTTTCTTATTTAAATAAAAAGAATAATTTTTTTCAATAAAATTTAGATGACGCGCTAAAAATGAGTGCATTCTACACAAAATGTCAATTCAATGAAAAGTGCCGAACTGCACGGGTTACCCCGAAGAATACTGTAAGGAAGTGGTGGGAGTATTACCTAGTTCTGAGTATTCCACTACAAAAAGACGCTTACATTGTGGGCAGAAGATCGGTTGCTTTAATTTTGAGTTACAATTCGAGTTTTTGATTTATTTTTTTGATAAATAAATCGATCAAATATGCATGTTAGTAATATTTTATTTTTAGATATTTTGTGATTAGAGATAACTAAAAAATTCAATTTTTATTTCCTTTTCGAAATTAGATATCTTATTTGCTGAAACTTTGAGGGAAAAAAAGATTTTTCACATTAAAATTTGAGCTTGTATAAACCATCTAATAGTATCAACATAATATATTCATCTTTTATTGACTTTATGTATTGTTGGAGATACATAGTAGGAAAAGAATAAAAATTGTATTTTAAGTGTAGTCATCTTACTTAGGTAGAACGTCGGTGAAGATCGAAAGAACCTTTCAATTTTAAAAAATCTAACTAATATTCATCATTTTTAAAACTTATGTTTTTTTTAAAACTACCATTTATATATATTCTTAATAATATTTGTTTGACGCTCATAATTTAATACTCGCTAATTAATTAAAAAATAAACATGTTGCACACATATCAAAAACATTATAATTAGTACAAGAGCAAGTAAAAAAAAATTAATCATAAAAGGGATCAATTTGAATTAATAAAGATAAGTAAATAAATAAGAATAATTGGTGAAAAAGAAAATTAGTACAAGAGAAAGTAAAAAAAAATTAAAAATTAATTATGGAAAGGGTCAATTTGAATTAATAAAGAATAGTAAATAAATAAAAATAATTGGAGAAATAGAAAAGAAAAGCGAAAAAGGAACAACAAAACACAATAGATGTTGTTGGTGTGATTTGAACTATAGTTGCATAGATGGCAGATCCCTGCCTTTGGCACTTGAGTTATTCTGATTTCTAATTATTGGGTGGCAAAAATAATATTGAATAATAATAATAATTATATATATATATATCTTTTGAGATGACTAAGTGTCGTGGTACCCATCTCTAAACATAAATTCGCCTCTAATTACGGAGGTTTAATAGCATAAATTAGCTGCAACCTTCCCAAATTATATTAAATAATTGGGGTTTTATAGTTGTCAGAAAATAAAAGCAAATGGCAGGGGTTTGAAACCTCTTCAGATAGAAAGAGAAAAATTTAAGTAAATGGGAACACCTGCCTTCATAAAAAAAGTAAAAACATTCTCATTTGAATACACATGCATCTACATATTTTTATGGAATATCTTTATTCCGTATTCTTAATTCCAAAATACAAAAGCTTATACTTTTCTTACTCTCACTTCTCACTTTCTCTCACTAGTTACTGCTGCAACGCCACTGTCCTCCACTTCTTCGTAACTTCTTCGCCGCTTATTTGTCACTTCGTTAACTTCAGCTACCTCATCAGATTGAATATGGATCATATTTTGAGGTACTTTCCACTCCTCTCGCGTCTTTGAATTTCCTCAGCTCAGTCTTCACAGATTCAATCTCGGAATGAAAAGCTCTGGAGAAATTACAGGTAAGTTCAATTTTTTTTTTGTTTGTATAGATTTATGGACAAATCTGGTACTTTTTGCGGATGAAAATCTGAAATTGCCAAATTTGAACTGCATTAGCTTATTGTATCTGCTAGGGCTACTTGCTTCGGGAGAAGAGAAAGACGGTATAAGAAAAGGAGAATAGTTCAAGGGGAAAGAGAAATAAAGGAGTTGTGAGTTGCTTTAGTATAACTTGATTCGTAACACCACATATATACAATTTAAAACAGGGTTGACAGAGCCTGCAGGATACTGCGACATTGCATAGGTTACACTATCTGTTTAGGGCTTAAAACTCAGCCATGCTAACTTTTGTCACCTTGAATTTTCAGATGGTAGAGCTCCGATTAGTCCCCTTAGATCTGAGATAATTGAGTCTATGCCAGTCACAGAAGCTTTAGGATGATTCTCATATCGTGTAGGTAAGGTTGCAAGTCAAGTTTAAACTATGACATCACATATAATGAATTTTGTGCCCTAGAAAATGCAAATATTAAGTTTAAGTGTTTTAATGCAATCAACATTTTTCAATTTTTCGCTTCTTAGGTGCCGAAATTTTCCGTTTGATACATGTCAGCCTTGTGCTCGTCTTGAATGTAGTTGGCAAGCTGCTAACTTCTGAAAGTGTAACTAATTAGTTGATATTCAGAAAAAAAAGAAGCAAACTCAACAAAGTGTGAAGGGTTTGAGAAGGTACTATAGTCTGTGTGTGTCTCTTTAGCTTTATATCCATGTTTAGGTTTGTCAAGTTCAACTTTTGAAGTTCGTTTTCTATTCAAGGACGATGATAACGTGAAAGAGAATTTTTCCATTTTTGTCAGGTTCTGATATTGTTTTATTTGTGTTATACAATCTAAATATACATACACCTATATCTTATATCTGGCTACCTATAATTTATTATTCACCTGGTGCTGAATTTCTGTGTGCCTTGATTTCCAGGTAGAAAGCATCATCAATCTTTATGATGCCTCAAACATTTGGCGTGTTCTTTTGATTTAAAGAGTGAGTAGTGTTGGTACTCTTATTTTGATGTATTTGCATGAATTTTTCACTGCGAGTATTACAAAAATTATCTTTTTTTTTTGTTGGACCAGGATCAAAATGCCCATGAAGCGATTCTGGAAGTTCTTAAAGGGTAAGCCGGATGAACTCCTGTAATCTTCAATCTTCACACTTAGTCTTTCAGTTTCATCACTTTGTGTGACATTTCGTGTATAGTAACATATTTTGATTTTTTTCATTTATAGAGTTGTTCGGAAGCTTGTCTTTGGAGAATGGACATCCCGAACGAAACTTCATGACAGGCTACATGAGCCTATCTTTTGTTGTGTTTCGTTGATAAACGGATACTGATAGTCTACTCTCACTTGTAATATCGAGTAATATTGCGTAGGGGTCACTACACAGTGGTCTATCTTCATCTCTAGTTGATATTCGGATACATGTTGCTAATGGCGAATCTAGAGTATAACTTAAGGTGTCGCAGGAACCTAGTACATTTTACCCAAACCTTGTATAAAATCAACTAAATATCTATAAATATATAACTGCAGTCCAATTATTAACGCATATCAACCTTGTCCTCATGTAGCATTTAGTAATCTTTGATCTTTTTCCAATGTCTAGGAAAACATCCCTTGAGTACATACATCATGTGATAAAACTAGAAGACACTCTTGTTGGTTTACTATCAGAAACTCTCGGGCTTAAGCCAAACCACTTGCAAGCTACCCAATGTGATCAGGGACAAACATTGCTATGCCATTACTACCCATCCTGCCCACAACCAGAGGATTTTGGGTGTACCGTGTACGGACCACACAAAACCTCGGTGTTGAAGGTTAATATCTAAATCATATGATCTTGTTGTTGCAGGAGGATCTCTATTACCGTTATCCATTGGTTCAAGATTTAATGGGGGTACCTAACTTCTCAATGAAATAAGATTTCAACTTCTTGTATTTGCTGTAAAATGGTACTACGATAGTTAGTGTTATAGATGAGAAGTATGAAACCAGAATTATGGCAGAAAGGGCACATAGAGAGTTGGCTTCTAATGGCAAAACTCCTGAAAGTTGAAAGGGACTGGCTCATTTCTCATGAAAGTGTTTGTCCTTGCTGGAATGGATCAAAATTTAGTTTAAGCTCAGAACAGTACACTTGTGTAAAAGTGTTACAAGAAGCACTGAAACTGCATGCATTTTCGATTTTGAAGAGTTTCCTCTTAGGGATAAGGTTACTTACAAGTAATATACTGGAACGGTTGAAAGTGTACATTGAACATAATTCCACTGCGGGTCATAAGCTATCATATGCTCAAGCCAAGTGCAAGGTCAGTAGTTATTTACGCGCTTCCTCCAGAGGGGCGTTTGTCTCCAGATAACAAACACAATTTATCAAGTGATCAAACATACTAAATGAGAATACGACTTTGACAAACCATTGGCAACCTAAATTTTTTACCTTCTTTGAAATTGCAAGTGCTATGAGTTCTGCTATACCAGTTCCAGCCTGTGATCACGGAGAGATCAACATGAAGCACAATGTAATGACTTTAAGATTGTTTCAATATGTTTTAATGAAAACAATCCATCCATATCTGCTATCGAACACGAGTAGAGGCAAAAAGATTATATGATTTCAGATGCATACTTGTATATCATCATTGAATACCAAATGTGTAGTACCATATTTCCAACAGCTCAAAAGTGTTGTGATTCGCAAAATCTTCGTACTGCAGATGTAGTTGCCTATATCAGACTTAGACGTTACATGAAAGGCGATTGGGTCCTTAACAAGTTTCAAATTACTAACCTGTACAAGAACTTTTTCGCCGTAGTTTTGCTTCACAAGAAAGTTGTAGTATTCCTACAAGAAGCAAAAAAATAGAACATTTCTTAAGAACATGCTGCAAATCTCAATTTAAAATATTTTTATCACCATAAAGAAAAAAAAAGAGTTTGTTCGGATCGGTTGATTTTTGGTGTTCTTAAGCCAAAATAGCTTTTACACAGTTCAATAAACAATTTACGTTATAGAGAAGTAGAAAGTTCATAACTTGCATGTTTAGTCAAAGAAATAAAACAAGAAGCTAAGTGGAAAATAAAAGGAGATCAAGATTTCGTGTTCAAGTCCTAAAAATAAAGAATTTCGAAGTAGGGAACATTTATCCTAAATAGGTACTAATATAATTTGAATTAATCATCCTAATAGTAGGATTCAGACATCGGACGATTTAAAACAGTGAGAACCATTTTAATATATCAACCTAGCTGTGAAATATTCCTCGCTCTCTAAAGTTCTCCATTCTTGATAAATTTTAAATTTGATCAAATTTGAAACCAGATTGAATTTTATAGTACCCTTTTTCTTGAATAGGAATCTGTGCATTTTTATTATATTACACCTATTACTCCAACTGATCTAAAGAGTCCAATGTGTCATGCACAAGTCAATTATAGGAAGCTGCTCTTCTAACAAACACCTACCACAAAATTGAGCAAGAAAAATAACTAAGATGTGAAAAATATACATAAACCATTTTTACAATTCACGTGAAGGAGCAATTTGTCTGGTTCTCATCTAAGTTGCTCGGACTCGGGTGCGGATATCCGAGACGGATGCGAATCCGAGTATGGATACGGGTGCGGGGATACGGCTAAAAAATTCAATATTATAAAAATATAGTTATGAAAATATTCTAAATTTGAGAGATATATTGTGATAAACTTACATGTATTTTGTAGAATACTATCTTTTGTTCTTCAAGATGAGATTACTCTTCTACTCTTCCTACAAAGACACAACAAAATAGAAACTAAACATTAAAAGAATTTACAAATGACAATAGAATAAATATAACTAAAAGAATCAATAAAAATTGGAAAGAAGAACTAACCTTAGAACATGGATAGTAATAACTCTTGAAAGTTGAAACAAAGTGAAAAGTGAAGAAAACACTACAATTATTAAAATTCAAAAGATACACAACGATATTTTATCCATAAATTAGATATTCATAATTACTAATCAATATTCAATACACCAAGTAAAAGTGTAAAACATACTATTGAACAAAAAACAAGAGATTGTCTCAACTTAATTCATAACTTAAAATTAACATAACAACAAAATATTGTCAATTATCAAGTTATTTAATTAAGTTAGCTATCTCTTCCACATCTTCTTCAACTTCTTCCAAATCTTCAAACTCTTCCTCAAATATCACACCATCAATTTGAGGGTCATCTATTGAAAGCTCGGTTAGATCATTAGTTGTCTCATCAATATCAAACCGATCTCCACCTAAAATAAATTTAAAAGAATAAATATATTAGAAGATCTTGTATAAAAAGAAAAGAACACCATTTAAACTAAATAATTGAAGAAAATATACACATACCAACATCCCAATATTTGCTTGGCCCATTTATATATTTGTCTTTCTTGCGAGACAACAATCGGAGATTATAATGTACAAACACTAAATCTTCGGCTCTTGAAGTTGCTAACTTATTTCTCTTGATATTGTGAATCAAAGAATATGTATTCCAATTTCTTTCACAACAAGAGGAAGAAACCGGTTGAATAAGCAACTTGTAAGCTAATTGTTGCAAAAGTGGAGCCGAGACCCCATGATTTGCCCACCAAGAAAGAGAATCTTCATACATCATAGCGTCAATCACATGAGGCTCACTAAAATAGCCATTTCCGCTACAAAAGGCTCCATACTCCGATGAGGCTAGTTTCATTTCATTAGAATTTTTAAACTACCTTTGAAAGCACTTGACTCTATTCAATGAAATTTCACTATCTTCATTGGGAGCTAGCTTTCGAATTCCATTCTCTCCTTCAAGCCATGATTCATGATAATATTTGGGAACCAAAGAATGTGCCATACAATGTAGAGGTGTGTTACTTTTGTTCCACCTAGCCACAAGAATATCATGAATAGTATCAAAAAATATTGATTGACCGGAAATGAGATCTTTTCCCTCATGCTCAAAGATGACTTTCTTGACTTTCTCAATCATTGAGTCCCACATATCATAAATGAGATGTAATTTTGGACCATCAATATCGGCTCTTCTTAGCATATCAACAATTGGTTCCGTAAATTTCAAGAAATAGTCAATACTATCCCATTTTTCATCATTCATTATGAGCGATTTTATTTCACGTGTCTTGGCTTCAATTTCCTTATCCCCCTTATAATTCTTCCATTCATCATCCATGACCATTTTCTCCAAAGAAGATTTTACTATGCGAATTCGGGTGGTCATAATGATGTGTGAGGCAAATCTTGTTTCACCAACCTTCAACAAATACAAATCCGAATGTTTTTTAGAAAGTGCATGTGCCATGTCATGGTTCAAAACAAAATTCTTTAAATTGCTCACTTCACTAAGTAACTCTAAAATCCAATTACAATTAGTAAAGTGAGGTGATTTTTCCGAAGGTTGGCACATACTTTTCAAAGCTAGATTCAAACAATGAACAACGCAAGGAGTCCAAAATATATGAGGATATTTTTGCTCCACTATAGTACCTGCAAGTTTCATATTACTTGCATTATCCGTAATAACTTGAACAACATTGTTTGAACCTACATTTTCTATTGCTTCAATAAATAAGTTAGCAATATATTCACCATCTTTTCCGATTCCACTAGAATTGATTGAATTCAAAAACATTGGGCCTCCACTAGATGATGCCATTATATTGATCAAAGGTCGTTTTTTAGTATCGGACCATCCATCCGAACAAATCGCCAATCCTTTCTTTTTCCATGTACCTTTTATTGGTTGCAACTTTCTATCAATATGTGTTTTTTCTTGAGCTAAAAGAGTTGACCTCAATCTATTATATGATGAGGGAATATAAACGGGAATGGAATTTTCGGCTAGAAACTTAGAATACTTTTTAAAATAAGGAGAGTTGACAAAGTTGAATGATAAACCTGATGCGTAGAACATCCTAGCGACTAATTTGTCGGCCGTATTCCTCTCATCAATGCCGAATGATTTTCCTATAGCTCCACTACTCGAACTCTTTCGTTTTTTTTTGTTGAATTAGATCAGTCCCCTCCGGAAGTGATGTATAATCATCTTTTTTTCTTGCATCAACTTGAACATTGGTTCGTTTTCTTTCCGCTTGTTCATGCTCCATCTTCAAAAGCGCATATATATCACCACTATTTTCTTTACATATTTGAACACAATGACCCGATAATCTCAAAAAATGTGCTTTCACCCTATTATATGATCCCGTAACTATATTATTACAATAGTTACAAGACCATGTCCTATTCCCACCCCCATTTGGAGCCATCAAAATAACTTTAACATGATTCCATAGAGGTTTATCATCAAAATCTATTCCTACACTTTTTGTAGGTCTCATAAAATCTTTTTTTTACTACTTGATGTTATCTTGCTAAAGAAAGGAAGATGCGTTTTTTTTTTTTTTTTTTTGCTTACAATAAACTTGAATGAAAAACAAAGAAGAAACAATGGTGTTTTTGGTTTTGGGAGGAAAAAGTAGATGAGGATGATTTTTTTTTTACTAGATGATGATTGATGTGATATTTTTCTTTACTCCTACTCTACTTACTTGGAAGACTTTTGAGGTTTCTTTTTCCATCATTAAGAGGAGTGTATGTATATTGTATACACATATTTTTACTATTAATATTTGAATTGTTTTTATAGTTCTAATAGAAAAAATTATGTTATCTAATTTTTATTTGTTGAGAACGTTTGGGTATAATCCTTTATCTAAGAATTAAGTAATTTTAATATTTCTTATACTTATATTTTTAGTATTTCGATAGTTCGAAGCTTGTAGTGATAGAAAGAATCAAAAGATCTAATCAGACGAGATTGTTAAAGTGCTTGAATTGATAGGAAGAATTAACTGATCTAGCGAGACATGATCCTTGATCTATATATATATATATATATATATATATATATATATATATATATATATATTTCGATAGTTCGAAACTTATAATGATAGAAAGAATCAAAAGATCTAGTAAGATAGGATCCTTAAAGCGTTTGTATTGATATGAGGAATTAAGTGATTAGTGAGTAATGAGACATGATCTCGATAAATTATTAGCATGTATTTAGGAATATTTACATAATAATAGTAATATTAATCATTAATTATTTCATGTAAGTAATTTTTTTATGCATAAAGCAATTTTGAAATAAAAGTCTCTATAATATTGTTAGATCCCATTTTTCAATCCAATTTGTCCTATTTATATGGACAGAATATTTACCTTTCGAAATATTGTTCCTTTCTCTCCTTTTCTAATATTTATATTTCTATTTTCTTTATACACGTAAATTGTAATATTTGTTCATTTTTCAAGATGACAACAAGTTTTATAAAAAGTTTATTTAATTTTTTAATACTATAAATTATATTAATTAATAATTTTAAATTTTTAAAAAATATATTAAAAATTGAGCTGATTTGCTAAATTTGATTTACTATGTAAATGGAAAAAGGATGCAAATATATATATATATATATATATATATATATATATATATATATATTTCTAATCCATTACTTATTATGTCTTGATAAATTCTAGTCAATCCAACTTTATGAGAGATAAAAAAATGTTTATGTATTTTGAATTATTTAACTATTTGATTAAGTTTTTTTTTTTGAAAGAAAATAAATATTTATGAAAAATAATATAAATTATTTTTGAAAAGCTAAAAAGTTGACTTTTTTTCTAAAAGTATTTTTAAAAAGTTTGACAAAACACTTATAACTATTGAAATAATATTTTTAATGTTGATTGGCAAAATGTAAATTATTCATCACCAAAATATTAATATAGTATTATTTTTTCTATAAATATATATATTTTATAATAAGGTGAACAAATAAATTAGAGGAATTGTACCTCACATTTTTTTAACTCAAAATCAAACCAATTAAAAAGCACCACAAATGAGTAGCTAATTTGAATGATTTATAGTATTTGAGACCGTAATTAAATTTAGATTTATGTGATATTTATATAGATATTAATATGATTAAATTTGAATTTGAATCTTCGAAGATAAATTTCAAATATTCTATCATAATTCATCTTGTCTTTGTGCATTCCCTTTGTTTTATCTTCTCTTTAAAAGCTATACTCTCTTAATATTAATCATTAATATAGAAATTCGATAATTTTGATTAATTATATAAAGTTTATTCAAAAAATTTAACTAAAATTGATTAATTTAAATTCATAAACGTAAAATCTCTTTAAAAACAGTGAAAGGATGTATTTCATCCCATTATAATTTCATAGTAAAACTATAATTTCATAGATATTTTTTTCATAAATTAAATGAATTATATTCTTGTTACATGATTTATATCCTCAACTTTCCTTAAAATAAAAATAAAAGCTGTATTGATTTTATTAACTTTAAAATGGAGTGAATAAAATAAAAGCTGTATTGATTTTATATGTGGCTCTTCCACACTCCAAATAACAAGTCAATATTAAAAAAAAAATTAATATTTAAACTTTTTCCAATTTCTAAGAAAAAAACTGGTTCCTAGAAAAAAGGCTTTTGAAACTTTCAATAAAAGTACATCTCTGTTCTCAACTCTTCTTCTTCCTCTTCTCAATTCTTCTTCTTCTCTCTTCTCAAATGTCAACTCTTCTTCTCTTTCGCCGGCGACTTGCCGGCGTTGTCTCCACAAAAATAATTTTCTCTTCTCTCTTCTCTGTACTTTTTTCAAGCTTTGTACTCTTTACGTCGTCGGAAATTGTTTTTTTCTTCCCCAATCTTTTCTCGACTGCGGTCAAAGCGTCCGGATTAGATTGATCGAATCTGACAGCACCCCGCACCCGCACCAGAGTCGTGTCGAGATGGGTTCTCCTGCAAAAATAAAGAGTCCGCGCAACTTAGGTTTCATAGGCAATGACATAAAGGGCTTCAAAAGCCCAAGCTGATTCCCAGTTGTTGAACTCTTGAGTAATTGCATTTGCAGCTTTTTCAATAGCCTAGTAAGATTCAACCAAGTTTTTGAGTCGATAACTTTGTAAGGCACGGAATAGAGAGAGTAGTATATCTGCATACAGAGAGTATCTATAAGGCTTTCTGATTACTCTTCTAGCATTCTAGAAAGTGATGAGCGCATCGAGTAGAGAGAGGAGAAAAGATGAAAAGATGAATTTGAAGAGATAGAGAAAATAAGGCATAGAGACTTGGTGTCTTGAGATGAAACAACATCGGAGAAGTGATTTAGGAAGTCAGTAATACATCTGTGAGCTTCTCCCATGCTTAAATAGGCTGAGGCCATTCTTTCGTCTTCAATCCAATTGAAGCTTTTGGTTTTGAGCAGAAACCCGCAGGGGTTTATGTCTTTCTCCGCGACTCACAACAATGACAACACCCTCTTTCTAAGGCTAAAGTTATCTTATTCAATACCCATTTATTGTGTATTTTCTTTTGAATCCAGGTGATGTTCTGTGAACTGTTGTAGGTCATTTCTTGAGTTTGGATGCTAGTGAAGAGATGTCAGGTGATGTATCGTGAACTGTTGTAGTCCATTTCTTGAGTTTGGATGCTAGTGAAGACTTTTCATCAATAAAAGCAAGATTAACCAACAGTTTCCGTAGTGATTTCTAGTTCCTTCTAATAGTAATGGTTGGGGTGAACCACATATTTCATCATAGCTTGTAAAACTAATATATTTTTGTTTGAAATATGTTTTATTTCTTAATCCTAATATGTCCTTTTAGCTTACATAGTCATTAATATTTAAAATTGAATATAACTAGTAGAATGTTGGAAAAATTTACATGTTCATGAATTGTAGGGGTTGAAAACTCATGTTAATTTTAATGTGAAATGCATAAATTGCAGGGGTTTTGGACTCCCACACTCACCAATTGTTGAGGTTCTGATTCCCAGAATATGAAGTGTTGGTTTATTGATATTAATTTTCGGGGTTCAAAACCCCCGCTAATACCCCCTGCTACGGGTAACAAGGGTCGGTGAAAAACCCGTGTGACTTAATTGTGACAGACCTAACAGCAGGGTTTCTTGCAATTGTCATAACAACAAACAAGGGGGGGGGGTTACTGACCGCCACAATATATAATTTTAACTCCTGCAATTTGAATACTTTTTTGTAGTGTTAGAGTGATCTGCCTTTAGGTAGTTCTCCTGTGCGGCACGAATTGAGCATGCTTATTTGCGTGTATTGTCCACTAGTGGAATAGTAGGGGGCAACTGGGTGGTATTAGTATCAAGGGTAGGGTTTGGATGAGCGACAAGGTTAGACTCATTTGGAGAAGAGATGTTTTCCCCTTGTTAAAGAAGAAGTTTTTTGATTCAAGTGAGAAAACGTATTTCCAAATAGAAAAACATTTTCACAACTTTACATCTCAGAGAGAAAAAAAAATTGGAACATGGGAATGATGAGTACTGGTGAAACTTAGATACACACAAGGTTTGAAGCACGCTTCTAATTTATTTTGGGCATATGGTCGAAGCCACGGGTAGCACAAATAACAAAAAATACGAAGATATGCGTAAGCTAGTTTGTCATTAAAAATAACTTCAAATGGTGACTTTTTATTAAGGGTGTTGGTGGGTATATAGTTCATGAGATATGTGGCATGATGAAAGGGAAACTACCAAATATCAGATGGTAAAGCAACTTGATGAAGTAGTGTTTTAGCTGTCTCAACTAGGTGACGATTGCGTCTTTCAGCCATGGCAACCCGTTGAGGTATGTATGGAGGAGTTTAAGGTGTTGTATGCCTTTAGAATTAAGATATGAGTCAAGTATTTGATATTCACCTCCTCTATCACCGTAAAGGGCGAGTGTTTGTGTATCAAAATGTTTTTCAAGAACAGGATGTAAGTGGTGAAAGTTTTGTTGAACTTCAGTTTTCTTTTTCAGTGTGTATAACCGGATGTACTTGCTATACTAATTAACAAAAATACAATAATAACATTTTTTTATCAATTGAAAGCACTAGGAAGGGTCCCAACAGATTACTGTAAGTATTTCTAATGGTGATTTGCTGGTCAATGTGTTTGAAGAAAATGGAAATTTGTGGGCTTTATTACAACAACACTACAGTAAGTGAATTTATCTTTCAAAGAATAAGAAAGACTGAAATTATTTAAAATGCAAAATAACACTTGAGAATGGGGGTGACGAATCTTTTGATGTCATAGTTGTAAGGAAGATTAAGGAAGGGTTGGTAACAACAATATTGATGGTTGGGCGAGATAGTGGCGGCCATTCATAGGGTCCAATTTATTCGGGCCGCAGATAAAGGGAGTCCTTGTAGTGAGATCCTTCACAAGAAAGTAGGGAGTCCTTGTAGTGAGATCCTTCACAACAAAATCGAAGGACAAAACTCTGTTGAGGTTATGTTGTCTTGGCAAAATTCATAAACTGAAAGAAGCTTACGCTTGATAGCAGGAGCATATAATACAGTAGAGAGTTTAAAGACATTTTTGCGCAAATATGAGTTACCATTTTGAGTAATTGGAATCACATTACTATTACCCATCATCACGTTCTCCATCCATTCTAAGTTTGGGCATCGGAGATGATGTGGTGAGATGCACTCGACTCGGCAATTCAGGGTCATGCGCCGCTGTATTGGGCAACAGAATTAGCCTTTGTTTCAAAGTTGTTATGGGATTAGGACCTACAAACATTTGTCGTATGTCCAAATTTGTAACAAAGCTGATAGTGGACTCGTGAGGGTTGTTGTGGGAAATTCCGCCATTGAGAACTATTGTCCAAATCTTGGGGAGTGGTGTCTTGAGTGGGTTGTCTAGTAGGGGGACGCCAGTTGTTGTTCGGTGGACATCGAGTATTGCGTGAGGCTGATTGGGAATATTTTCGTGTTGAGCAACATCAACAATAACCTGAGTGGTGGTCTTTTTTTTGTCCTCTTGTTTGAGGAAAACTTGATGATCAGGAAGTTCATCAAAAAGTTCAGTGTAGCTAATGGCAAAATCGAATGCTCGTATTGTCGCTGAAATTTTGAGGAACTCCAGGCAAGACTACTAAATATTCTCACCACAAGTTCTTCCTTATTGACCGGTGAAACGGCTGTAGTGAGTTAATCAAATAGAGATCAAATCTCAAGCAAGTAGTCAACAATAGTTTTGTTATCCTTGCTGACCCGACTTGGATGGTGACAGAGGCTGAAGCTGCTAATTTGAGATTTTTTCTCAAAAGAGGTGTGAAGAATCATAGAATAATGATAATATCCATGGAAAAGTGAATTTTTACCGAATACCTGGTGTCCTTGAGAATTTTTTGAATATCTCGATTATTAGCATTTCTTCTCGAGGGCAAATACCACCGCAATTAACCTTATTTTAGCAATTATTTTCAGAACTCGAACAACCTTTACGTAACAACGGCTAATAACATGAGCTAACTTTTTGAAAACTTATACTGTTTGTAGGAGAATTTTCTGACAAGAAATTGGCCAGGGTGAAAAAAGGAAAAAATATTGAAGTAATAACAAAAATATAAGTTAGAATGATATAGTTCTACCTCCATTTGTCTATGATCATTGTAAGAGTACTTTTGGCCATATATTCAAGAAATATCAGTGATACAAGAAATCATTGAAATTTTGATATCTTCGTTGGTATGCCCCAAAAACTCGTCCCTAACCAACACTTTCATTAAAGGTTGTATTGCACTTGTGGTCGAATCAAATGGGTCCTGACTAACCGCTTTCAGTAAAAAGACTCAACTTTCTGGCAAAAAGAAAAGGGGAAAACTGTAAGCCATAACTTATATGAATTTAACACAATAAAGGATTATCGGTTCATTTTTTCAGTCCACAATCGTTATAGTAGAACAAAAATTCACACTTCCATCTCATTTTTTTGTGATTTTTTTTTCAAATAAAAAAAAAGATTCTTACCTAAAGAATTTTGAAGCGCTCATCAATGGAAGGAGGATTCATGAGGCTCAGCCCATAAGCTGTGAACTCTTTTTCCATCTTTTTCCAGTGAGCACAGGAGGAGCCGAAATAGCCATTGCCAGAAGAACTCTGTTTCAAAAACAAGAACTCTAGAAAAAATACACTTCAACAAAGAAATGCGGAGTAGCAAAATAACTAGAAGTGTAGCAGGTTGCTTACCTGTATGCAATGGGAATGTTAGTACCTATGCAAAAGTGCAAACAGAGCAAATTTCCAAATGGGGAGTTTCCACTTTCAACTTTAATGTTGAAGTGATAAGATGAATTGACAGTTTTATCCTTTAAATGTTATTTGGATTTTAGAACATTTTTAGGTAATATCTGAGATATGATATTGGAAAGTATCACGATGTGCATCTTATAACTTTTTAAAAAATATTCATGTGACTTACACTTGTCTTACATTAAAATTCATGTGATATGCTTGTCCTTTATAACAATTTATTTATGTGGGTTTTCTTGACCTAATATGAAAATTCACATGAGATACTTTTGTCCTAACATGACAATTCATGCAAGATACTCTTGTCCTAATATGTCAATTCATGTGAGATATTATTGTCCTAGTATGATAATTTACGTGAAATAGTCTTGTCTTAACATGATAATTCACATGAAATAGTCTTGTCCTAATATGACAATTCATGTGATATACACTCTTCGTACATGACAACTCATGTGAGATACTCTTGTCCTAACATGATAATTCACGTGAGATAGATCCATCCTACACGCAATTCATCGGAGATACTATTGTCCTGACATGACAATTCACGTGCGATGCACTTATCTTAAATGAAAATCCACATGAAATACACTCATCCTAAGTGACAATTCATATGAAATTCACTCGTCCTATATGCAATTCACATGAGGTACACTTGTGCTACAACAATTGATTTAGATTATTTACATAGGTCTTGTGTATTTAATAGTTTAACTTTATACAAATTTAAATATATTTATCTACATTCAAATTTAAAATACATAAAAATCAATTTGTCAATTAAAATCATGTTTATATTAATTTATATCACCAAACATGTAATTTGTTTATTTTCGTTGCCTCAGAATTTATGCATCTTTTGTTTGCACAACTTCTAAGGCAGTGGAAACAAATCAATTACCTACACAACTTCCAAGGCAGCAGAAACAAACCAATAACCTGCAATACGGACAAAAGATGCACAATTTCTGAGGGAGCAGAAACAAACAAATTACATGCACAACTTCTAAGGTTGTGGAGATATAGGAGGATATGAAATCAGATATGAGATTGAGGAGACAGAAAAAGAAGACCGTAAAAGGAGACTGACATCAACAATAGTAGCACGAGAACAATTTCGTTTCCCAAAATTGAAGTTTTAGATCCGACTCGGAGAATTGGCTTAGGAATTTTCTGTGCATTGTTCTCCTTAGACATGATTTTTGCTGTTGTTTCTGCTGGCTAATGAAACTTCTGTTGACTGGTGGAGCTTCGATTGTAATTCGGTTACGAGTTTGAATTCTGACCTAAGCGGAATATTTATTTCCCGATTTGATGATCCAATAGGCCTAACTCGTAAGACACGTAGGATCCGAGAAGCTAGTAGGTGACATGTCATTTTGATGAGTTGGTCTGTTCTCAACAACCTGGTGACCCAGAAGATGTGCACGTAATTGGTTTATTTCCAGTGCCTCGAAAGTTGTGCATACAAAAGATGCACAATTTCTGAGGCAGCGTAGGCATACAAGTTACATGTTTGGTGATATAAAATAATATGAACATACTCTTAATTTGCAAATTGATGTGTATGTCTTTAACTTCAAAAGTAGATAAATATACTTAAACTTGTATGATATTGAACTTGAAAATACACAAGTTGTTGGGTTTTATTTGCCCTGATTTCTTACCATAAATAGGTTTTCCTTTTAGGAAAAGGTTTTGAATTGACTAATCCTTTTTTTGGTAGGAAAATGTTTAGGACTCTATAAATAGAGGCATGTTCCTTCTAACTTAATCAGCATTCACAATGTAGTCGTAAGGGCTTTGAGAGTTTTGGTTAGGGGAAGAATTTATGGGTCACAAGCTTGATACGTTATTACTTGTGTGAACCTCCCATGTATTCTGAGTGAATTGGTTGAGGTTGTTTCTCTCTGTATTTTGTACTCTCATATTTATAGTGAATTGCTCATCTCCTTTGTGGACGTAGGTCGATTGACCGAACCACATTAAATCTTTATGTCTTTTGGTATATTTCTCATTGTCTTCTTACTCGTCGTCTTTCGAGGTTTACTTTGCTAGCTTCCGCATTTACACCTGCTTATTTTCGGTCCTAACACAAGTCCTATGTAAATAATATATAGCACTTGTTGTAGGACAAGTGTACCTTATATGAATTGTCATATACGACGAGTGTTTCATATGAATTGTCATTTAGGATAATTATATTTCACGTGAATCGTCATTAAGGACAAGTGTACCTCACGTGAATTGTCATGTTAGGACAAGAGTATTTTCAATGAATAGTCGTGTAGGACGAGTGTATCTCATGTGAATTCTCATGTTAGGACAAGAGTATGTCACATGAATTATCGTGTAGGAAGAGTGTATGTCATGTTAGGACAAGAATATTTCACCTGAATTGTCATGTTAAGACAAGAATATTTCATGTGAATTATTATATTAGGACAAGAGTATCTTACCTGAATTGACATATTATGACAAGAGTATCTCGCATGAATTGTCATGTTAGTATAAAAGCATCTCACGTGAATTGTCATGTTAGGACAAAAATATCTCACAAAAATAAATTGTTATAAAGGAAAAAAGTATATCCCATGAATTGTCACGTAGGACAAGTGTAAGTCACATGAATATGAATATTTTTAAAGAAGTTATAATGCGCCACAACGTGGTACTTTTCCAATATTATACCTTTGACATTACTCAAAATTTTCAAATTTCAAATTACATTTAGAGGATAAAACTGTCAATTTCTCTCATTACTTCAACATTAAAGTTAAAAGTGGAAACTCCTTATTTGGCAATTTGTTTGCACTTTTGCATAGGTACTAACGTTTCCATTGCATACAGATAAGCAAATTGTTATACTTCTTGGTGTAAGTGTTATTTTGCAACTCTGCATTTCTTTTTTGAAGTGTTAATTTTTGCTTTAGTTCTTATTTTTGAAACAGAGTTCTTCTGGCAATGGCTAGTTCTGTCTCCTCATGTGCTGACTAAAAAAAGATGGAAGAAGAGTTCACAGCTTATGGGATAAGTCTCATGAATACTCCCTCTTCCATTGATGAGCTCTTCAAAATTCTTCAATTAAAAATATTTTTTTATTTGAATGAGATGAAATCAGACATACAAGTGTAAAATCCTTACTATAGTGATATTTGTTGCTCCTCTCGGGTCGTGGTTTTTCCCTTATTTAGGAGGGTTTCCACGTAAAATCTTGGTGTCATTATTTCTCTTTTATTCTCGTTGATTAACCGTATTGTTGTGTTCCGCATTTGTTGCCTTTATTACCACAAATATTATTTCTGTTATGGATTTATTCCCAACAATTGGTATCAGAGCACATGTTCTGCTCATTTACAGAAATATTGTTTGCAGCTTATTGTACTATACTCAATAAAAAAAATGTCTGGAGTAAAGTACGAGGTAGCAAAATTCAACGGTGATAGCGGTTTCTCAACGTGGCAGAGAAGGATGAAAGACTTGCTCATCCAACAGGGTTCGCACAAGGCACTAGGCGCAAATCCAAAAAGCCCGAATCCATGAAACTTGAGGATTGGGAAGAAATGGATGAAAAGGCTGCTAGTGCAATCAGATTGCACTTAACAGATGATGTAGTTAATAACATCATCGATGAAGAGAGTGCATGTGGCATTTGGACAAAGTTAGAAAATTTATACATGTCCAAAACGCTGACAAATAAATTGTACCTAAAGAAGCAGTTATATGCGCTACATATGGGTGAAGGTAAAATTTTTTTGTCTCATTTAAATGTACTTAATGGACTAATCACGCAGCTAGCAAACCTCGATTAAAGATCGAGGATGAAGATAAAGCCATAGTGCTCCTAAACTCGTTGCCATCTTCCTACGATACTTTAGCAACAACCATTTTACATGGTAAGGACTCTATTGAGTTGAAGGATGTCACATCAGCCCATTTTCTTAATGAGAAGATGAGAAAAAAGCCTGAAAATCACGGACAGGCTCTCATCACGAAAAGTAGAGGCAGAAGTTACCAAAGGAGCTCAAGTAACTATGGTAGATCCGGAGCTCGTGGAAAGTCCAAGGTCCGATCAAAATCGAAGGCCAGAAATTGCTACAATTGCGATCAACCAGGACACTTCAAAAGAGATTGTCCAAATCTAAAAGGGGCAAAGGGGAAAGCAGCGGCCAGAAGAATGATGACAACACAACTGCCATGGTGCAAAATAACGACGATGTTGTTCTCCGCATAAATGAGGAAGAAGAATGCATGCACTTGGTAGGTATAGAGTCGGAAAGGGTGGTTGACACAGCAGCATCTTATCATGCCACACCGATAAGAGATCTTTTTTGCAGATATGTAGCCGGTGATTATGGCAATGTGAAAATGGGTAACACAAGTTACTCAAAGATTGCGGGGATCGGAGACATTTGCTTAAAAACAAATGTTGGATGCACATTAGTGTTGAAAGATGTGCGCCACGTACCTTATTTACGGATGAACTTGATCTCGGGAATTGCTTTGGACCAAGATGGATATGAGAACTACTTTGCAAATAAAAAATGGAGACTCACCAAAGGGTCATTGGTGATTGCAAAAGGAGTTGCTCGTGGCACATTATACAGGACAAATGCAGAAATATGCCAAGGTGAATTAAATGCGGCTCACGAAGAAAATTCTGCAGATTTATGGCATAAAAGAATGGGTCATATGAGCGAGAAAGGATGGCAAATTCTTTCCAAAAAGTCACTCATCTCTTTTGCCAAAGGTACAACGATAAAATCGTGTAACTACTGCTTATTTGGTAAACAACATAGAGTGTCATTTAAGACATCATCTGAAAGAAAGTCGAATATACTTGATTTGGTATATTCTGATGTTTGTGGTCCAATGGAGATAGAATCGATAGGAGGTAATAAATACTTTGTTACCTTTATTTGATGACGCTTCTCGAAAATTGTGGGTTTATATCTTGAGAACCAAAGATCAGGTGTTTCAAGTATTTCAAAAGTTTCATGCTCTGATAGAAAGAGAGACAGGTCGAAAGCTAATACGTCTCCAAACCGACAATGGAGGTGAGTACACTTCAAGAGAATTTGAAGAGTACTGTTCAAACCATGGAATCAGACATGAAAAGACAGT